GGGGCTGAGCAAGGGAACAGACAGCCTGCAGCCCTCCTCATTCTGTCTCTTGCCATCTTTTGCAGATGAACGTGCAGGCGTCAAGAGTGTGTGCAAAGGCCACGGTCCCGTTGTCGGAGAAGGCCAGCTGCTGAGCCGGGCATGTCTCCAGGAGGCCTGCAGACTGCGCAGATCCCCGCCTCTCTGCAGTGGGCTGCCCAGGCTGGTCAGTTGCAACCAGAGAAGTGGTCGCGCTTCCCTGCCCTCCACCCCAGGGAGTCCAGCCTATTGCTCAAGCCCCAGGTTCCCAGCACCACCCTCAAGTGGTGGGGCAGCCACTTGAAGTTTCCAGTTGTCCTGGGAGGGAGCTGATTCCCAGCTCCTATGAGCACCCAGCCTGAGCCGTCCCTCTACCCCTTTGTGCCCATGTTTCTTAGCCCTTAAAGAAAAGGGATGCAGGTGTTCCTGGGACTTTCCAAGGGTTGTAGACGTGGTGTGGAACAAGGAGGTCAGTTGCTGTTAGTAGTGACTATGGAACAGGGCACTGTGGCCAAGTGCCTCTGACACTGGGCACCTTCCCGTGCCCTCTCCAGGCAGGTGGTGCCGCTGTGAGCTCCTGGTCCCCAGCCCTGCCGCTTGTGGCTCTGGGACTCCAGGTGAGGTCTGGAGAGTCTCGTGCCTCCCTTTCCTCATCTGGAAGATGGAGATGAGCACGGCCCCCACATGGAAGAAGTCGCTTGGCCTGTAGGGGAAGATGCGTGTCTACTGAATGAATAAAAGAATGGGACTCTCCCGTGGCCTCCAGTGCTCCTGTCCTGCAGATGGGAGACCGAGGCTCCGAGTTCAGTGACTTGCCCAGGTCTCACTGCCAGCTCAGGCAGGGTTGGGCGCCCTGTGCCTCCCAGGTGCTCACACGGCCCTGCCCTGGGGATCAGGGTTCGAGCCTGTCTTGTTCTCCCAGCCACTTGTTTCAGCAACTGGCCATATGAAGGTCACCAGGGAAGAGTGAGGGTCCAGAGGCAGTAGTACCAGTAAAGGTTACAGGCTGTGGCCTGAGCTGCCATCTTCACGCTCAGCATCCGCGAGGCCTGTGGGGATCTGCCCTGGTCATGCATCTAAGGGCAGCCTGAGCTGGCTCTCACAGGACAGGCTGCCCACCCCAGCAGGCCCAGGGAGGCAGGCCTCACCAGGCAGAGGCCTGGGTGTCGGGTAGCAAGGCCATCACTTCCGAGAGTCCTGGCATGGCTACATACCATAGGTGACACTGGCCCCATCCTCCAGGGTCTCGGGTTTGTTACAGAGAGCAAGTCTGTGGCCCACTGCTCCCAACCCAGGTGAGCAGCCGGTGGCTGGGATCCGCCCGGACGCTGGGCTTGGAAACTGAGGGCCGCAGGAAGCCCTTCTCTAGCGGGTCGGGGATGCGCGAGGCCTGCCTGAATGATGGTGCTCATCTCTTGCAGACCAGCCGGTTCCCACGGGAGGCTCCTTGTGTGATCGGGGAGACCATGCCCAAGCCCTCCGACTGCCTGCTGCGGCTCCTCCGGGGCACCCCCAGGCAGCGGGTCTGCACCCTGTTCATCATCGGCTTCAAGTTCACGTTTTTTGTCTCTGTCATGATCTACTGGCATGTCGTGGGAGAGCCCAAGGACCAAGGGCAGCTCTATAGCCTGCCTGTGGACATCCCCTGCCCCCCACTCACGCCCCCAGCCCCGTCCTCCAGCACCCCCCCTCCAGGCAACATCTTCTTCCTGGAGACCTCAGACCGGACCAACCCCAACTTCCTCTTCATGTGCTCCGTGGAGTCGGCCGCCAGGACCCACCCCGAGTCCCAGGTGGTGGTCCTGATGAAGGGGCTGCCCGGTGGCCACGCGCCCCTGCCCCGGCACCTGGGCCTCTCGCTTCTGGGCTGCTTCCCCAACGTGCAGCTGCGCCCGCTGGACCTGGAGGAGCTGTTCCGGGACACTCCGCTGGCAGCCTGGTATCGGGCCGTGCAGCGGCGCTGGGAGCCCTACCTGCTGCCCGTGCTCTCCGACGCCTCCAGGATCGCGCTGCTCTGGAAGTTCGGCGGCATCTACTTGGACACGGACTTCATCGTCCTCAAGAACCTACGGAACCTGACCAACGTGCTGGGCACCCAGTCCCGCTACGTCCTCAACGGGGCCTTCCTGGCCTTCGAGCGGCAGCACGAGTTCCTGGCTCTGTGCATGTGGGACTTCGTGGCCCACTACAACCGCTGGATATGGGGCCACCAGGGGCCCCAGCTGCTCACGCGGGTCTTCAAGAAGTGGTGCTCCATCCGTAGCCTGGGGGAGAGCCACACCTGCCGAGGGGTCACCGCCCTGCCCCGGGAGGCCTTCTACCCCGTGCCCTGGCAGAGCTGGAAGAGGTACTTTGAGGAGATCAGGCCCGAGGAGCTGACTCGGCTGCTCAATGCCACCTACGCTGTCCACGTGTGGAACAAGAAGAGCCAGGGCACGCGCTTCGAGGCCACGTCCAGGGCA